GAATGAATGACTAAATGGATTCCATAGCAAAGTTTATATTACCACATAACAGCACAAAGGGGTTTGAATCACAGAGCGGCCATTAATTCCACCAAGATCCAATTACATCCAACTGACTAGTCCCCCATAGGATGAAATGCACATCTTCTATTCCATCGCTGGACATATTTCTCAGTTGTGTTTGTTTCCTATGAGAAGTGTCATGTCTTATTGATTTGTTTTGATTATTGCCTTATGTTATCTCATATGGTATTCCATTTTATTAGTATTCGAAGTTGTCAAAAAAGAGAATTTCGCATGCATCGGAGTATTGAGTGAGGCTGGCTTTTTCTTGAACAAAACAGCTCTACCTTATTATCATCGTACGAGGAAAATTAGTTTGATATATTTTGATGGTAAAGATTATTGAAGAGGATAAATTTTGTCTTGGAGACTAATCATATCAAAATTTATAAACTGTCATTATGCTTGAAGTTCCGCAAGACCGTAAAATGATTGAAGTTAGGCCGGCTCAGTGGTCCAGAGTTTAGGCGTTAGCAGACATGACCGAAGGTTCTGGGTTTGAGTCCTCCAAGTTACAAGTGTTGTAGGTGTGCACTGCTGATGAGTCCCACGCCAGGACAAAACGGCCGTCCAGTGCTTCCAGGTTTCTAATGCTGGCGGTCTACCACAATTATTTTTATTATTATAACCAAAATTATTGATCAAATCGAAGATGTTTTTGTAGAATCAGAATAATTAAATATCGTAGAATTCAACCAGAAGACATGTGATTGACATAATTAAAAGAACATACAAATCACACTAATTTTTAAAACACTCTCAGTGATGAGAAAATAAACACTAAAAACATTATTTGAATACAAAATGGAAAAGTAACGATGTGGAAGTCCACTTGTGAATGCACACATATTTTCATCAGTGTAATGATGAATTTTGAACCACGTAAACTAACGTCTCGAACTACTGATTACAGTTATGATACAGAATCTGATGAAATACTTCTAATGTACAAACAGGTTTATGAAAACTAAATTTTGTTATCGATAGAATCTATCTGTTAAAGTGTATCTTAACAAGTCAGTAGATACCGATCCTCCAAAACTATACTCCTGTTTCACGTTACCATAACTGTTAGTTGACGTCATTCATTATTTCTATCCAATTCAAATGTCGACAAACTATTCGCCCTACAGTTTAATACAACTATCATCATTCATAATTTCCAGTATAATAAAAAGAACGATGCATAGGAACTTGAATTAGAACTACCCCATTTAGTACATCTGATAATTCCATCGGTATTCACATATTTCATTTTATTCTTTCTTGTTATTTGGTTTCATCACTATTCCCGCCAATTACTCCGATACAAAATGTTATCTTGTGTAATAGTACCTTAAAATGGTTTCCCCCATACTCAGTTAAGGAAGTCATCGACCGATGAATTGAGGTATGTAAATCGTTGTGGATTACCTAGTTAGTGTTCGTTTGATTATCGTATCCGATGTTTGGAAAAGTTGAGTGACATCGTTCTCAGTCGACCTTAATGGTATTTTGATATTTATTATTTTTCAATTTGAGTTATAGAGATTAGTGTTTGGTGCACATTGAAATCATCAGTCAACGGAGGAGTCGTGAATACGCACTGCTAATGAGTTCCATATCAGGACGAAACGGCAATCCAATGCTTTCAGGTTTCTAATGGTGGTATAACAATGATTTATTATTTTCTCTCTTCATCTACATCTTCAGATTTCAGGATATCTTATATATCATTTCATCTCATGAACTCATTCTACTCGAATTGCATTGTCTATATTTAATCTTGTCTGCACCGACTGAATCTGTTATTCACTCTGCTACTCTAAGTTTATGATTAGATTAATTTATCTCTCTGTTGTAATATTATGAATGGTGTGACAAGTTGAACGAATGCATGTATTTGCCCAGGTTCAACGTTGACTTACCACTTGATCATCGACTGACTATGTTTTCACTTCCTTCTTGTTCAATTATTTGTTATTGCTTATTCTACACAGTCCGACTTTTGTTTTAATTTTTACTTTTACAGCAAGCAACTTTATGATCAACGAAGCAGAGTTTTTCCCTCTACTTGTTGAGATATTACATATCTATATAACATTTCCCATTTTTAAGACAAAGAAACTTTATTTGTGAGAGTATACATATTTGAAATCATGAATCGATCAATGTTAGACCACCAACATTAGAAACCTGGGGAAATACTGACAGACGGGTGTTTCGTCTCAGTATGGGACTCATCAGTAGTGCGCATCCACAACTCCCACACCTCACAGGATTCGAACCCAGGACATTCGGTCTTGCACGCGAACACCTAACATCTGGACCATATTTTTTTTTGTGTACTTTACTCACATTCAAATATTTTATGAATTTAACTGTCTACCTAATTTTCTGTTTGTATTAAGGAATAAGTAAAATGAATTATCGGTTGATTTGTTTGAAGAATAAATTTTTAAAAGAACACCAAAGTCCTTTTTTTATAGTTCGTTTTCTTTTATGTAAAGCTTTTTATGTCGTCATTAAAATATTTGATAGAATAAGATTCAAATTTATGAACAAGGTTTTAAACAATGATAAAGTGACTATGAGATAAAGAAAAACTTAACCAAATAAGTAGAATTTAAAAGAGGATTACAAATGTGAATGTCAGGAAATTTAGGAATTAAAAATAAAGTTAACGTTAAGCATTTTGATCACGAACTAATATCAATGATTATGATGACACAATGTTAGTTTCGGTGCCATATAGATGAATGAATTTCGTGCTTGAAATTCTAAGATTTTTAATTTTTTCTGAATCTTATTTGTTTTGATCAGAAATTCATATATATAATATTGCTTAAAACAAATATTGTTCGCCTAATCTACCAGTGAATAATGGATCGTCATCAGTTGAGATGGTTAGGATATGTGCTGCGTATGCCCACTACCGGCTACTGCCTCGTCGAGCTATGCTTTGCGATGTAGGAATAGGTTGGAAGAAATCTAGGAGCGGTCAGACCAAAACAAGTTATAAATCTATGAAGTCAATGACAAGTGGACTGAATCATGTTGGTAGATGTAGACCATCTGGTTGGGGTCTGCGAGATGGTAATAGCTGGCGGTTAGACACTTTGATTGACATTTCTCAAAATCGTTTGCAACGTCCCAGGTGCATCCAATCTTCGTGTTCTTCGAAATTCTAACCTGAATTCCTCATGACCTTCATCTATCTCTTCTCAAATTTATTTCACTGGATTATACTCCATGAACAACATTTCAAACCCTAATCTTTCTGATTAGCGCGCGTACTTCTGTTACCTCTACCACAATGGAATTTGAATCGACAGTTGCATCGCTGTGGTGTGGCAACTGGAATTGATGTACGTACGTAGGAAGTTCTACGTCATTACTGACTAGCTGACGACTAGTGAGTGATAAATGGTATGAAAAGTAAACAGAAAAACGAAGCATACTGTGAGTTATCATATCAAAGATTCCCATTGTGAAAATTAGAACAACATATGTAAGCGAACAATATTATTGTTCGCAATAAGATTGTCATCATGCCTTACTCTCCCATATACGTGAATATCTATGATTAAAATGTCAAACCAATCAACGTGATATGAGTTAATAACTACAATGCAATAGATTACGTCACTACACATAATAGATAAAAGTACAAGTTGACAGTCGGAAGACAGGTGTACTGATAATAGTAGGAATAATAAAATAAAATAACAGAAATCTATTGTCAATAGTTCAACATTGAAAATAACAGTAAGTCAAACAGACTTAAAATGATCATCACAAAACATTAGAACAATTACGGATTGTGTTAATAAACAGATAGTGAGAAATACAATCAGGGATGTCATGGATTTTTTTTCTGAACACATAAATTGAGGTTCAATGTTCGAATTTGTACGGTTTCTGCAATATATGGGGATAGCTATATCGTGCTTATTACCAAGCAACTTAACCACATCTCTCAGTATGATTTAGAAAGGGACCGATAAGAAAACAATACGCAGCTCTATCTTGGCACATATGGTTGATATCGATCATAAAATATAGATAAATCTGAATCATTTTAAGTGATCTATCATATACCTCCATCATTTTCCAACAGAATTCGATCCCGTCTCTTACGTGTATTGTTATATGTCAATAATAAAATTTCGAAAATTCAATCAACTGAAGTCAAAGAAGTTTGTCTTTTCATGAAAATATGTAATTATTTTCGTTTTAACAATTAAATTACAAAACTGTTTGTTATACATGAGTTAGCAAATTATCGGTACGTTTTTTTCAAATGAATCAAGTTGATGATAAACCAACTATTATCACGAAGATTTATTTCTTATGATTTTGCTTAAACTTTAATAATTTCTAGCTTATTCACAAATACTGACAAGTGGAACAATCTATACAGATGGATGAAGTAGTACAATCACAAATAATGAGATTAGTGTTGTTTTAGGAAGTTTGTTTTCCGCGGGATGAGGTTGTTAACCCAGGGATTAACGCCTCTCTTGGAGCTGCGTTTGGGGTTGACAGTAACCCCAAAGCAGCGCCAAGTGGAGTTAAAAAGTACACTCATTTAATCCTAACGATTTCATTAACCAACCACGAAGTATTGAAACTTCCTCCGTTGAAGTGGTTAGGAAATATATTACGAATACCTAAACACCGACTACCTTGACGAGCGATATTTTGTGGTGTAGGAGTTGGTTGGAAGAAAGTTAGGGGCGGCCGAACCAAAGCATGGCACAAATCCATGAAGTCACTGACAACTGGATTAAGTCATGTTGGTAGATGTAGACCATCTGGTTGCGGTCTGCGAGATGATAGTAATCAATGGTTAGAGACCTTGAACGACATGGCTCAAAACAGTTTGCCATGGCGCACATACACTGTGTGTGTATGTGTGAAAATGTAACATTGAACACATGAATCTTTCTCACCTGAAATGAACTACCAGCATAAAATGAATGATTCAATGATCGACAGAACCAACAAAAGAAAAGAAAAACGACATTCCATTTCAAATTCCGATTATTATTTTCATATGATACACAGTAGCCTATGCTACATTCGGAGTAACAGGTGTAGGGAAGTAAGTAAGTAAGTAAATAAGTAAGTAAGGAATATGGTACAACATTATTATCGATTTTGATAATTGAAAAAAATATGAAAACAAAACTAACAACTGTATACACACACAGAGAGAGAACAAGAATCTTGCATAGAATAAATAAATCACTAGAGAGAGAAAAATCCAAAAATTCACCTTTATTCGCTGATGAATACATAAAAAGTCAGCTGAAGTAAATAAGGAAAAATTAAAAACAAACTAAACTCCACCTGGAGTTCTTCTAGAGTCACTACAAGCTCTTGGATAAAGGAGAAAGGTTGGGCAAAGAGCTTAGCAACGTCCTCCCGTAGAGATCTATTTCGCTAGAAGGAAAAACGTTAACCAGAACAGATAATTCGCTGGTCGGCGACCTATGTTCCATTAGGAGTAACAAGCGCAAGTCAGTAAGTAAGTAGGTAAGATGAAACACTCCAAACAAAATATACCGTAGATGTGAAAACAAAAGGTTGTTAAATAAAAAAAGACATACAATTGTAATATATATGTGTAGATATGATGATGTAATTTTATTCACATACATTAGTTATAAGCAAACGATTAAGATTATGCAACGAGAGAGAGGCAGCAAGAGAGATCGAGAGAAGAAAATTACATTGGAACAGAATTATTGGCAAAAACAAGCACATGAGCTAAATTGTTAAATTCATAATCACGATTCATTGTTAATTCATGAATACATAAACCGGAAATCATCTAAATTTAAAACGAGAGAGAGAGAAAAAGAGAGAGGAAATATGTATTCTAAACAATAGAAAAGATTATTATTATTATTATTACTTAATCAAGTAGAAGATTATTCAGTCGATTTTGAGCAACACATATTTCAATTGTACAACAGCGAATAATATGAACTGGTTACTTCAACTTAAAAATAAATGGGTCATGATTCGAAACTTATTATCGCTACTAGTGTGTAGGATGCTACTCACTAAGTGGCTTGTCAATCAATCAGCCAATCAATAGCAACGTAGAACTTCGTAGGTACGTACGTACATCAGTTCATGTTGTCATACCACATTAGCACCGAGATGTAACTGTCAATTCAAATCCCATAGTAGTAGAGGTTGTAAAGGCAATAGCAGTAATCGGAGAGATTAGTGTTCGACAATATTATTCAAGAAGTAGAATATAGTGAAATAAACTTAAAAAGATAAATTGATGAGGACAAAGTGGTTTGTAAGTAACATGAAGTCGAGTTTCGCCTAAAAATTAAAACCACTAGAGAGAAGAATGTGAAGAGATTAAAAAGCAAGATGTGATCAATGTAATTTGAAGACCAGCAGAGACCTGAGAGAAGACAGAAAATAACCTGCTTGTATTTCACGTACATGATTGAAGACCATGTGTACATATTTGTTGGGGACGTTAGATCCCCAGAAGTAACTTAGAAAACGTCCTAATTTTGGACTTTTGATGTTTTCGAGCATAAGTTGTTCAGTTGACCTGGAGATTACATTTCCCAATCCGAAACTCCTTGGCTATTACTGATTGATGTATTATTTTAATACGTTATTTTTGTGGCTCTTCCAAGGACGTTTTTATCATGTATATATAAGCTCGGTTTGTGTGCTTGCTAACCTCGATTTTCTGGGTGCTTGTAGAACACACTTTCTACTCCATATTAAGACTTCTTTCTCTACGGTGAGTTTTTGTTATAACGGAGTTAATAATTTGAAACAAGGCGAAATGTAAATTCACAATAAAAGTATGTGCAGTGATGAATAGCGATGGGACTTCAAAAGATGTCAATATCAAACTTCTAACAAACGTTCATATATATATATATATATACAGAACTCGTGACAGATAGAAGTAAACGGCTATCAACAACGCATGATTAAAACGATCTTTTCATCAAAGATTTTGAAGTGAATCCCATCCCATGATTGATAATCTTAGATGAATAGCGAAGAATTTATTCGTCATAGACATCATTGAAGTAAAATAAAATTACGACGACAGTAATCTTGAACGATTCTTTAAACGATCCAACTAAAATATACCTATTTAAATACATGAATTAAGGATTCATAATGCTAAGAGTAGACTTCAGAGTTAACTGTCACGTTTCTATTACGAATTGATGTTAATATTAGTTAGAAAGCATTCTCGCATTATGCTTGATATTAGTTCATGATAATAACTCTAATCCTATTTTGAACCGAATAAAACGGTTGACCTATTGAATGATCACCTTTAGAATCATTCACAGTTATAAAATAATTCACAAAGCGATAGTGTTAAGCCCTTTGTCTACATTAAAACGGTCTGCAATATAGGATAAAAGCAACAATTATTCAGGAAGATCTTTCATTATTTCGATTCAGTACCCAGTAACATTGAAATGGTGTATACGTTTGCCACTGATTTGTCCTTATAGTTCAAGGTCAATGACGATATAATCTAATTGTAAGATGATGTGATTTCACCTTTATAGAGAGTATAGATTATTCAATTATCAAAAGTAATTTACATTTTGATAAATATTTAAAATCACTGATACTTCGGCAAATATGAAACTACTCTTTAGGACATATACAAGAAATTAGGTTAGTGAGTTTGTAAATACAATATGAATCGAGATAAAAAGATGTGTGACATATATGCCATAACCATGTTAAGAAAGTTACGTAATCAGTCATTGATGATAAAATGAAGTGCCAAACGAAAGCTTGTTCATTAAGTCTTTCTACCGCCTCAATCGATCAGACTATGGAAGTATATGAGTTTATAAGTTGATGATTGACAGGCTAATGCATTAACTATTTGGTGAATTTTCACTACAACCAAATTCCATCACCCGATCCCAGCAGCTAAATTAGGAGTGACGTAGAAAATGTTTCAATTAGAACGAACATGGAATTAATCGGTTAAATTATTAACCACAGATCAATAGATGAAGTAGTAAAACTTCATCAGTTGAGGTGGTTGGGACATGTTGCATATGCCTAACCACTGACTACCTCGTCGAGCTGTTTCACGGTGTAAGAATGGGTTGAAAGAAACCTAGAGGTGGTCGGAACAAAATATGGCACAAACCCATGAAGTAGCTGACAACTGGATTGAGTCATATTGGTAGGTGTCGACCACCGGGTTTGGTTCCGCCAGATGATAGTAATCGTTGGTTAGAGATCTTGAATGACATGGCTCAAAATCGTTTGCAATGGAGCAGGTACATTCATTCTTTGTGATCTGTAAAATCCTAACCTTTTGATTTCCTCATCACTTTCATCTTCTTAAGTTTATTTCATTAGATTCTACTTCTTGAATAATATTCTCAAAGCCTAATCTCTCCGATTACAGCTAATACTTCTACTACCACTACTACTATGAGGTTTGAATTGACAATTGCGTCTCTGTGATAATGTGGTCAGTCAGTCAGTCAGTTGCAACGTAGAACTTCGTACGTATGTACATAAGTTCATGTTGCCATACCACATTATTAGCACAGAGACGCAAATGTCAAATCAAATCCCATAGTGATAAAGATAGTAGAGGTATTAATGTTAATAAAGAAGACTAGAGTTCGAAGATATTATTCAAAAAATATAATTCAGTGAGATAAGGTTAGAAAGACTAAGGTAGAGGTGCTGGCTAATCCAGAACATTAGGATTTGAGAGAGCTCAAAGAGTGGATGCACCTGCGCCATTGCAAACGATTTTGAGCCATGTCGTTCAAGGTCTCTAACCATTGATGACTTTCGTCTCGCGGACCCCAACCAGGTAGTCTACATCTACCAACATGACTCAGTCCCCTTGTCAGTGACTTCATGGATTTCTGCCATGTTTTGGTCTGGCCGCCCCTAGCTTTCTTCCAACCTACTCCTACACCACAAAACATAGCTCGTCGAGGCAGTCGGTGGTTAGGCATACGTAACACATGTCCCAGCCACCTCAACTGATGAAGTTTCACCACTTCATCGATTGATCTGCCATCCTTACCTAGTACTCGTTTCCTAACGACAGCATTGCTTACTCGGCTGTCCCACGATATACGAGCAATGCTTCTTAAACATCTATGATCGAATACTAGTAACCTACGAACATTTTCTACTCTTAACGGCCATGTTTCACAGCCATATAAGAGAACGGAACGAACTGCTGCGCAGTACTCCCGTCCTTTGGTTAGCGAACGGATATCACGCCTACGCCATAAGTGACGCAGGTTGGCAAAAGCCAATCGAGCTTTCTGTATCCGAGCTGAGATTTCGTCAGTCACCAGACCGTCAGCACTGATGAGACTGCCCAGATAAGTGAAGTGATCAACACGCTCAACTACTTCACTCCCTATCACTAGTTCAGGTGCCGATGCAACCCAGTCTTGAAGCAACATTTTGCATTTCGAGGGAGAAAACCGCATCCCGAACATGCTCGCATTGTTGCTTATGGTGGTCAGAAGACTCTGCATTTTGTCAGCGTCTTCACCGAATAGAACTATGTCATCGGCATATTCTAGATCAGTAAGCGACGTTCCTGGTAGAAGGTCAACCCCTGAAAAATCTGACGAGCTTAATGTTAACTCTAAGAGGATGTCTACGACAAAGTTGAACAAGAATGGAGAGAGTGGACAGCCCTGACGGACACCACTTGATGTAGAGAATTCAGATGACAGTTCGCCATAAGCTCTCACCCGACCAGTGGTGTTCGAGTAGAGTGCTTGTATAAGGTTAATGTACTTCTTTGGTACACCTTTCAATGAAAGACACTGCCACAGAACCTCACGATCCACTGAGTCGAATGCCGCCTTAAGGTCCAGGAACACGACTATTGTCGGACGTCTAAATGTGTGTCTGTGTTCCAGGACCTGTCGTAGTGTGAAAATGTGGTCTATACAACCACGTCCAGGTCGAAAACCAGACTGGTTTTCTCGAGTCTGCTCTTCGCGAGCTCTAGTTAGACGTCTAAGTATAATCGAGGCTAACAATTTAGAAACTATATTAGTTAAACTTATTCCCCTGTGATTGTCACAAGAGGACTTCTGTCCTTTCTTGTAGATTGGGACAATTAGCGACTGAGACCAGTCAGATGGGATTACGTCCAGTTCCCAGATTCTACCTAGGATCTCGGTCAGTTTAACCGTTAAAACTGGACCACCATACTTAAACATCTCAGGGGTAAGCCTATCGAGACCTGCCGCTCTACCTCTCCTTAGATTTCCTATAGCTTTCTCAACTTCATGTAAACTGGGAGGACTTAAATCGATTTGCCATTCAGGATGACTGGAGATCGTGGGCAACCGAAGAGTGGCTGAAGGCCAGTTGAACTGATCCCTAAAGTGTTCTGCCCATCGGTCCAGCCTCCTAGATTGAGAATGGATAATAAGACCATCCTTTTCCGAGATAGTCTCACTTACATTCGGGTTCCTAATACCGGTTTCTTTAATAAGGCGGAAAAGTTGTCTAGTGTTGCCTATTGCCGCTGCCTTTTCCATCGCTTTTGCTTTCGCCACCCACCACTGTTCACGGTCGTTACGTAGGCTTTTTATAAGTCTGCGCCTAAGCTGACTACGCTCTTTATCATGTTCAGAGTCAGGTGGGATGCGTTTTCGAGCATCCATCAGTTCGGTGGATGCGACTGAAATCCACTGCTTCATCCTAGCCTTATGGTTTACCTTGCTAGCAGATATCACTGCTGTTTCCACAGCCTTCTTTATATCATTCCAACCTGACTCCGGATGGGAATCACTTGCATGATCGCCCAACTGTTTTTCTAGTTCCTCCTGAAATATTTTCTTAGCTTGATTATCATCAAGTAAAGCCCTAAGAGGCTTCCTTACGGTGTCTTTCCTATGTCCAGCAAGCCTCAAACAAATACGTGCTCGCACTAGGGCATGATCTGAATCTAAACATGTGCCCCAGAACGAGCGACAGTCCTCTATCGAACCCCTCCATCGGTGGCTGATGGCGATATGATCTAGTTGTGTCCAACGTTGAGACGACTTCGGGGGTCGCCAGGTCAAAAGGTGTTTTTCTTTATGCTTAAAATTAGTGTTTGCTAGAAATAGTTGGTTATCTGAGCACAGTTGCAACAGACGGTCGCCATTGTCTGTTCTTTGAGCCGCGAGACCGTAACATCCACCTAGGTGTCTTTCATTTTCACTTAGTCTACCTACTTGTGCGTTGAAGTCACCAGCCATTATAACTATATCAGAGCGCTTAACGTTTTGGAGGAGGTCCGAAAGCTTTCTGTAAAACTCATCTTTTACATCATCTGGACTGCAGTCAGTGGGGGCGTAGGCTGATATGATGAAGAGGCAACGGCGAGTGTCCCTATCTTTCCGAGTCCTTACTGTCCCGTTCAGCCGGACGGCGCACAAGCGACTATCTACAGGGATCCAGTCAAGGAGAGATTGTTCTGCCCTACGACTCAATGCTATACCTACACCGGCGAGGCCCCTAGAAGCAGCATCAGGGCTACCGGATACACGAAGGGTAAATCGAGCTGCTTCTTTATCTTGACATGGTGAGGTCAAATGAGTGATGCTACTCGGATCCTGTATGCGCGTTTCCGGGACGCAGCACACATCGATGGAACGAGATTCTAAAGTCCTAGCTAATGACGCCTGTTGCCCTATTTGACACAATGTCCGTACATTGAATGCTCCAACATGTAGTTTGGAACGGGGTTTAAGGAGACCAGGAACGACGTTTCGCAAACTCGCATCGTTTGCATTAGCTGTGCACTGTAATAAATGAATGTGAGAAGAGTTAGTTGTGGAGATAAGAGAGGTATTAGGGAATGTAGGAAGGATTTGATTTTGAACAATTTGGTCTCGTGTGCTGTTGCGGGTATGAGGGCGGTTATCACTTCCCGGCTGCCCACACCGTGGAAGGTTGTTTCTTGAGGTACCTGAAAAGGAAGATGGATTAGTGTTGGTGCGTGGCCGCAGAGTCCAAGGGACAACTGCTTGAGGCCGGTCACGCACGGCCTTTTTATGAGAGGTATTTAGAGGATTAGCTCCGTTCTTAAAGGCCCTTAGTGGGCACCCTTACCCAAGGAGACGGAAATCCGTCAGGTAGGGGAGGTGTGACATTTTTAGGGTCGACCTTTTCTAACCCTTCCTTCCTTGTGAGAAGGCAGCATCGCTGCAGATGCTGGTTGTCTGAGGGAAACACCTTACTGCTGTCACACCCCTCTGCAGTCAGCAGTACGACTTCGCCCTCAGACCTTGGGTATCTGCTTTTAGTCTCATCGTTCTCCAATCGACCTGCCTGGCATGGTAGGACCTGCAGGAACATGTGTTCCAGCCAGTATAGCTCGGTTGGGTCATCACGATAGGCAAGCCCGACCACCACGTCAAGGTAGCAGCTTCGGTCGGGCAACTTGAACTGATGTACGTATGCATGAAGCCTCTGCAGCACTAGGTCTCAACATACATAAAGGAAAAAGCAAAATTCTCCGATACAACACAACATGCACCAACCAAATCACTATTGATGGAGATTCATCGGAGGACGTTAACACCTTTATATATCTGGGCAGCATCATCGATAACCAAGGTGGTTCCGATGCAGATGTGAGGGTGCGGATTGGCAAAGCAAGGGCTGCATTTCTACAGTTAAAAAATATCTGGAACTCCAAACAACTTTCAACCAAAACCAAAATCAGGATTTTCAATACAAATGTCAAGACAGTTCTACTGTATGGAGTGGAAACTTGAAGAACTACGAAAGCCATCATCTAGAAGATACAAGTATTCATTGACAGTTGTCTACGCAAAATACCTCGGATTCATTGGCCAGACACCATCAACAACAACTTACTATGGGAGAGAACAAAACAGATTCCAATGGAGGAGGAAATCAGGAAGAAGCGGTGGAAATGGATAGGACACGTACTGCGAAAAGCACCCAACTGCGTCACAAAACAAGCCCTCACATGGAATCCTCAAGGATAAAGGAAAACAGGAAAGCCAAGGGACACATTACGCCGAGAAATAGAGAAAGACATGAGAAGAATGAACAACAATTGGACAGAACTGGAAAGGGAAGCCCAGGACAGAGTTGGCTGGAGAAAACTGTTCGGCGCCATTTGGGGTAACAGGCGTAAGTAAATAATACTTCATTTTTATATAAATAAATCATTTAAGTATGCATAAAAATGTAATCACATTGTTGTAAGTTCATTTATCATAAAAAAACAAGGGGTTTAATACTACCACATATACTTCATCAGTAATTTTCTACCGATTTTATTAAAATATAAAGATGATAGCCTTGATAAGTATGTGAGTAACAGCTGTTCATTAAGCAACAAAAATATAGATAACATTATGACACACTTTCATTGTATATCTTTATACTTCAACTTACATGTAATCCAGGTACAGTAGCCATTAAATTCAATTCGAATGGAACACATTGACCAGGTGATAATTTACCTAATTTTTGTTTTGTTCTACTTAACCAAACAATCGGTGATAAATAACAATTGTTTATGCATTGAATAACATTTTGTTCATTGTTCAATGTATTCTCTTTATCATTCAATGATGATTGTAATGGAATGGATGCAGAAGCATTGCGTCGAAATGAATGCAGACTAAGTATCAAGTCTAAATTCATTTTACTGTGTGAATTCAGAAAAGGAAAATAATGATGATAATAATAAGGTCAACTTAGAACTGAAATAAAAGTTGAATTGTGTAGAATAAGCAAGAAAAAATTCATTTTTAAAGATGATATGCTTGGAACTATTACGAGTTCAGCTTACTCGGTAAACAGAACGAAGAGCAATGACTTAGTGACACGATAGGCTGTTCTAATCCGATTGCTCCCGATCCTGCTTACTATGTCAAGAGGTCTTGATAAGGAGTAGAGAATGTATTCTACAATCACCCAGAAAACACGAGGTTGTTAAGCACACAAGTCAAGCTTATTTATACATCATAGAAACGCCCTTGGGAGAGCCACAAAAATAGCGTACTAAATTAATCTTCGATAAACTTAGAGTAGCAGGATGAATAACAAAGCCAATAGGTGCAGACAAGATTAAACACAAACAATACGATTCCAGAAGAATGACTTCATGAGATGAAATGATATATAAGATAACCTGAAATCTGAAGATGTAGGTGCAGAGCGATAATTATAAGTCATTGTTATACCAACTGAAACCTAACAGCATTGGATGGCCGTTTCATCCTGATATGGGACTCATCGGCAGTGCGTATCCACGATTCCTCCATTGATTGATGATTCCAACGTGCATCAAACACTAATCTCCATAACTCTAATTGAAAAATAATAAATACCGAAACACAATTATGGTCGACTGGGAACTATGTCAGTCAACTTCTCCAAACAACGGTTACGATAATCACACAAATGCTAACTGGGTAATCCATAACCATTTACATACCTCAATTCATTGATCGATAACTTCCTCAACTGAGTATGGTTTCCCCTTTATTTTAACGTAATGTAGCACTAGATAACATAGTGTATCGGATAAGGCGGTGGGAATAGTGATGGAACCAAATAACAAGAAAGGATAAAATGAAATATGTGAATACCGATGGAATTATCAGATGTACTAAATGAGCCAGTTTTAATCAAGTTCCTAATTCACTATACATCACTCACTTTATTATGTTTTAGAATTATGAATGGTGATATGTGTGTTAAAACTGCGCCTGGTACTACTGTACGGCTACTGCCGGTGCCAAGCTCGGATAAAGGAGGAGGGTTAGGCATAGGGATAGCGACAATATATTTGAATATTTCCAGTGATGTTTTAGGATTGCGATTGTTCAGTCTCGTTGAACTGTTTCTATATAGCAATATCAGGCTACAAGTATTATAAGCAGAGATGGATGATAGTAGCTAACAATGAAATCCAGGACACCTAGGTATATATATATATGCACCTATACTTGGACGGAACGCGCATCCTGGATTCCACTACGAACCATCATCTATCTAATCTTATAATCTTGTTGAGGACGTTAGATCACCAGAACTGACTTGGAAAACGTCCTAATTTCGAATTTTTTGTGTTTTCGCTCACAAGCTGCTTAGTTGACCTTCAGCTTAGATTTCTCACTAGGAAAATCCTTGACTGTCATTGGTTAATGTGTTTTTTTAGTATGCTATTTTGTGGCTCTCACCAAGGGCGTTTCTATCATCAATATAAATAAGCTCGATTAGTGTGCTTGTCGACCTAGTGTTTTCTGGGTACTTGTTAAATACATTCTTTTCTCCTGATCAATACTTCTCGCTCTAGTTAGCCGGAACGAAGACAATCGGATCACTGCATTAATTGTCTACGCTCCGTTTACCGAGTAAGCTAAACTCGTAATAGTTTCACGCATATCAAATCTACAAAATACTTTCAAGAATGATTGTATCCACAACCTTCATTCTATCACATCGACAACTATGTGAAATAGTTTAATGCTCCAAATTATAAATACACTACATTCATTTATTACATATAAAAGAGTAATAAAAACCATAAGAAACTTGAAAGATTAGATCATAGAAACGTAATACAGAATGCGAAAAAAAACCACATGAAAAAAATGATGACGTAACATGCTGACTTTTTAAAATATGTGCACCTTTGATAAAATACTAACCTAACTATTCATTATTAAATTTGGGAAAACTTTATTATTTTTTTTTAAATGAAAGAAATTTTATTATTTTTTTTGATAGAATCAAGTTCGCATCTGTACAAAAGATCTTATTGGTTGGTTAGTTGGTTGACTTTTTTATGGTGACAGAGTTAGGATGTTTAAATCGAAGGCGAAAAAAGACCTTGCATTATGGTAATGTGAAGATTGTTACATTTTACATTGATATCATGAATGAATAGTTGTTAGACCAACATTAAAAACCTGGAAGGACTGGATGACCGTTTTTTCCTTAGATTGATTAAAGTTAGACATGAACACCTTTCGATGTCAGCTTTGGTGGTCAAGAGGTTAAGCGTTCACGCTCAAGACTGAATGTCTTGCATTCAAATCCTGCGAGTAGCAGGAGTCGTGAGTGCGCACTACTGATAAGTCCTATACCAGGACGAAACGGTCCATCCAGGGCTTCCAGGTTTATAACGTTGCTTTAACAATGATTCATTCATGATTGCAATATAAAAAAAGATCTTAATTGACAAGATCAATTATCATCAAAACCAATTAGCAGTCAAACCCCATGATATTTCTTCCTCTCTTATATCAATACATACGGACAACCATGGACGTTGAACTAGTAGGAAAAACGTCGAATTACTGGACAGAGGGAGTAAGAGGGATACGAGAAATTATTTAGAATCTTGGCACACAGTCAAGTCAATCTGCAATCAACAATCACATCAACACTGATCCGATTTATTAACCAATCAAAAAATCATTAACAAGCATAGCATCAAGAACCAAATCAAAGCAGGACACAGTCAACTTCAGGTTTCAGGTGAATTAAAAACCAATCAAGATCAAGGTCAACAGGACAGGCTACAAGTCATACATGGAGAAATTCGAAAACGTTGCTTCTGCTGATGATGTTGTTCAGAAGAACAATGAAAGCTCTACAACTAAACCATCCAGCTCAGAGAACGAAACTCCACTATAAATCATGTTACAAACCAATCGAAACCAAATTGTATTTATACATCTTCTTCATGCATTCAGTCATAAGATGTTAGGGCCTGGTGAACACCAACCAAGAAGATACATTTCCGCGAGTTAATATGTTTTTCAATCTTTGTCAGTGTTTGTAATTTACAAAATTTAAACTATTCAAATGAATATGGCATGTGACATACCTACAATTTGTCAATTCAAATTTCATAGTGAATGGTTGTTCTGTTGTTACAGTAGGTGGAAGACTTGACACTCTCACTTGAATATCACCAAAAGTAGGAAGCTATAAAAAAAACGGGGGAAAAACAGATAGCAGCTTCATTGAAAAAAATTAATATCCCGTTCAATTTCATCATTAATCCATTGGGAGTTTCAAGTGAAGATATTATGTTACATAATTTAGAATTCAGTTATTATTGATCCATCAGACAGTCGGGATACCCCCCCCCAAATAGGTTGTGTTCATTGTCTATGTCATAAATTTACATTTTTACCCTAATTGTGGTGTTTTTTTCGCTTTTGTGAAGTGAGAGAGTGTGAGAACTCATAGTTCACATCAGAACGCGTTACTTGTTTACAACACCTCTATAACGATTACGTTCTGCAATGTGAAAATCAGAGTAGTTTCATTTATCTTTTATTTTAGTTTGCATTGCAGGGTTGTGTAGATTGTTGAGTTACATTTTGAATTTATGAATTGATCATCGTTAGGCCATCACTGTTTCATATCCGAACAGGGTTGAACTCCATTGATCACAACTCCTCATTAGAACTCGGAGAAACATATTCACGTGGTTAGTCACTAGTGAGCACATGAGCACCCAGTAGACCAGTACTCACCGTAAACAGCGGATGAAGTGTCGCAAGACCGTGGATTGATCAAAGTTGGACATTAACACCGTTAGATACCGGGTAGATGGTCCAGAGGGTAAGCGTTCGCGCGCAAGATCGAACGCCCTGAGTTCAAACCCTACGAGTCGCGCAAGTCATAAATGTGTACTGTTAATGAGCTATGCACAAGGACGAAACAGCCGTTCAGTGGTGTTCTAAAATTGATCGATTCATGATTTCAAAAAGTTTTATTTATATTGAAATACTGGCAATCAAGCGCTAGTTATTGATGTTAAATTTTACGTTATCTAAGCTAAACTGCTACATAAAATATGCTTAATATAATAAGAAAATTTGATTGTGAAGAGATAGAACAATAAAATTTAGCACTATTTTTTTAAAAAAAACGTATCAGTGGATGTGAGTTATTCAAGGAAGTTCCATTCATAACAAATTTAACTTTAAAAAAAACTATTTCAGTTGAAGTAGTTATCTTCATTTTGATGAAAAAATTAAGAGAAATATAAATGCTTCAGTACCGTCAATGCATTCTACTATTTTGAGTGACGTCTAGTAACATTTTGATCTATTGAGTTATCTTTAAGACTCCTAACCGACGACGAATCGTGAAAGTTCAATAGATTCCAGTTCTGTACAGGTAGAAGATATACGCTGGTTGCTGGTTTTCGATTATAGGTGTCTTCGAAGCATTGCTCGTATATCCTGGGACACCCGAGTGAGCAACGCTGTTATTAGGAAACGGGTGCTAGGTAAGAATGGCAGATCAATCGATGAAGTAATGAAACTTCATCAGTTGAGGTGGTTGGGACATGTGTTGCGTATGCCTAACCACCGACTGCCTCGATGAGCTTTGTTTTGTAGTGTAGGAGTAGGTTGGAAGAAAGTTAGAGGCGGCCAAACTAAAACATGGCAGAAATCCATGAAGTCATTGACGAGTGGACTTAGCCATGTCGGTAGTTGTCGACCACCTGGTTGGGGTCCGCGAGATGATAATAATTGATGGTTAGAGACCCTGAATGACATGGCTCAAAACCGTTTGCAATGGCGCCAGTGCATTTATTCTGTGTTCTCTCAAATCCTAATCTTCTGGATTCTTCAACACCTCTACTTTTGAATTTCTAAACTTTTCTCACTGAATCATACTTCTTGAATAATATCTTCTAATCCTAACCTCTCCAATTACTTCTAATACCTTTACTACCTCTTCTACTATTGGATTTGAATTGACAATTACATCTCTGTGCTGATGTGGTATGGCAACATGAACTGATTTACTTACGTACGAAGTTCTACGTTGCATTTGACTGACTGACTGACAGGTAAGTAGGTTACTTTCATCGATGAAAACAACTCTGAATTGAAGTCTCCTCAACCACTCTTTGAAATCACTTGTCAAATATTATATTAAAAACTAATCTATTAAATAAACAAAAGTACCTATGTAAAGTACAGTGGGCTAATGTATCATTGTCTGTTTTTTGTACTATACATAATAATAAAATAGATGTCATGAATGAATAACTGATCTACAAACCATATGAAAAGATAATGTAACTACTAACAACGCTTGGAAAAAACATAGTAATAATAATCATAATAACTATTTTATCATAGCAATGATAAATAAACCATCATACCCTTTTCCTTTGATAAAATAACATTACTACTATTGTTGTGATGCTTGCTTAGATAACTCCCAGCTAAATCCTATTGCTTAGTATTCTCTGACCACTATAAATTCAAGCTGTTCGTAGCTGATGAATAGCTGCTCTAAAATCAATAAGGAATTCATTTTATTCTACAAACTGTA